ATATTGTGAGCTGCTGTTCCTTTCCAGTGTGTGCTTTTCAAGCAGGAGGCTACCTGACATAACTGGGTTACAGCAGCCCCACTGGAGTGAGGGATAGTCTCAATTCCAGGTGTGTTTGCCTGAGGAAACAGGGGTGTCTGTGAGGGGCAGTGCAAGGCCATCTGTTCAGAGGCCAGCTCTGTCACGGTGAGGGACCTGACAGACCTGGGTGCTCTCAAAGGGGACTGAAATGTAAGAAGCACAGAAGCTGTGCAGACAGGTTGGAAAGTGTCACTTGGTGGCGAGGCCACTGGCAAGGAGGAAACACGCATGGCAATGTGTAAGAGGCTTTCTGAGAAGCTGACAACTGGGTAGGCACAACTGAGCATGGTGAAGAAGGAAGGAACTGGACCGTCCTTGAGATCCCTTCCAACTGTGACCATTCTCTGATTCAATGATCCTGAGACAGTGCTCATGCGTAATCCCACTCGAATCCCATTTGAGTCTTTCATGGCACCAAACCCAACAGAAAATAGCGTGATACCACCAAGTGCTACAGTTCTGTTAAACAGATTTGAGACAAATTATGTCAAAACCAGCTTCTAATGGTGGCACATTTTGAGTCATCCAACGTAAATGATTACGGTATCAAACATACAAAGTGGTTATGGAAAAATGTGTCTGAATGACTTGAGTTAATAATTGCATTGTTGTGAAAGCTTCATAATGTGGTGCTCTTCATGCTGTCACAGCTATTGCCTATGCACATACAACACTCTGCACAATAAAACTGATGTGCCGCTTAGAGTGACAGAGCTGAGGACCTTCTTTTTCTTGTGACATTACAGGAAAAGCGACTTGATAAAACAGAAGTCAAGTCAAAAGAAAGAAGAGATAATGTAGGACAAGGGGTAATGGTTTTAAACTGGGAGGGGGAGATTTAGATCAGATATTAAGTTCTTTCCTGTGCTGACGGTGGGACTCTGGCCCATCCCTGGCAGTGTTCAAGGGAACGGAACTGGATGAGCTCTAAGGTCCCTTCCAACACAACCAGTCTGGGGTTCTATATGGCTGGGTTTCCAATCACTACAGTGTTGGTGCTCAGCCTAGCTCCCTTTTAAATGAAAGAAGAGGCATCATCAGGTGCTTGAGAGAAGTATGGCTTCATACCAGACTGCAGCTAAACCCACACATGCTAGACAATACCTGATAGAGATCTGCTACATGGCAGCAGATATTTCTTGTCTACTGAAATTACTGTGGTGGTGGAATGCTTGTTGTTAGCTTTCCTCCTCATCAGTGAATCAAGTTGTGCTTGCACCTCTTTAGCATTGCTTCTGGCTGAGCTCACACTGACAGGAATTAAATGCTTTGAAATGTATCTGTGAGCTTCTCCTTTCCAGCAGTATTTCCAGACCGCTCATGTTTTCCTTAGACAGACTTTGTGTTTCAGCATCTGGTTGATTCAGCCAGTCTTCGGCCTAAGCTTGTTAGTTGGGTCTTTTATGTTAGTTGTCTGAACTTGCTTCAAAGGGGATGCAAAGGCAGATTCTGACGTGCCATCGTGTAGTGGCAGTTTGAGAGCCGGAGACAAATCTTGTACCTCTTAGAGACCTAGTGCAGACTTCTGTTTCTGATCGAGTGTGACCCTTGCAACAGCACCTTTCCTTTATTGTGCAAGGTGAGCACGCATCTGAGAAGTTCATAGTGCAGTCTGGATCTTCTACAGCACAGACCTCACAGTGCAGAAGGGCTCCTGATCCTGTCACCAGCCACATCTGACAGATCCCATCTCTTCAAGAGGACTGGCTTAAACTGTACGGATGGGTGACTGTGCATTGGAACAACAGGCAGTGATGGTGCAAGGCACGTTGAGACTATCAAGGCTGTTGGTCAGTATTGACCCTCTGAGTCTGCAAAAAGCAAGGTGTCCTCACAGCAGAAAACTCCAAGCTTCAGCTGTGTGCTAGAGGAGTGTTCCTGAAGCCCAAGGGTCACGGCATTGCAGCTTGGTGACTGGCAGAACCTGCGTGTATCCGACGATGCCCGTTTTGGTCAGCCACACAAGCACGTACCCCTCCCTGTCTCCTCGCGTTGTCCCTGTGCTGCCATCCCTGAGGCAGAGGCACCGCTGTGCTCGGTGGCTGGATGACAAAGTGACAGCGCTGGGGTGGCAGAGCCTCCATCCCTCTGCAGCTGCAGCCTCGCCTCCCTGATGGCAGCAGCTCAGGGAAGCAGCAGTGTGAGCAGGCGGGTGGGTGCTGACAGCCTGTCACCTGCTGATCGGGCTCACGCAGGGTGAGCGTGCAGGGACAGACGTGAGAGGAGAGCTTTTTCCCAAGAGCCATCTCCCAAGGAGCTGGCCCCTGCAGGGATAGGTGTAGAGGGTGTATTGCTTCCTTATGAGGCTGTTACTGTCTGATCAGACAGCATCTTATTAAACAGATCTTATTCTGTCTGATATCAGAACAGCATTTCTTTTCAACTGCATTCCTTTTCAAGCTCTGTGAGCAGCAGTAAAATAGTAATCCTAGAAGAAAACTAAAGGAATTGGATATTGCTGTACTTAATAATAGAGATGTTCTGTTCTGGGGGTGACTTCAGAGAGCAATTCAGCATCTAGAAGTGCAACCCATGCTTTTGGTCGACCAAGACTCTCCCAAAAAATGCGTTCCGTTTCCCCCCAGCATTTCACCTCTGCAATGGCTGTTTTCCTTTGACCCAACACATTTTGTTAGCTTACTTCAGAGACATCTTTTGGAACTGCCTCTTCTGTTTTGTCTTTTATCTATTTCTCTCTCAGATTCTCTTAACTCCTTTGTCCTTTTAAATAATAAATGCATAAATCATTCTGAGTTACACGTTTCCTTGTTCTCCCATTCTCCTTTGCATTCTCCTGTCTTGACTGACAATGGCCGGAGTTTTGCAATTGGGCTGCTTCTCTTTTATAAAAACCTAAGATTTTGTTATTGTTGTCTCAATTTTGCAGATTTCCCAGGGCTCCTCCATTTCCTCTGCATGGCTCTGATCTGTCCCTAATGCTTCACATGCAGATGCTGCTCTTGTGAGATTATTTTGTCAGTCATTTGTACAGAGTGTGCTGTCAGGGGAAGTAAAGGTTGTCTCATGAAGTCAGAGGGCTGTATCTATTCCATGTCTATGACAGGGGGCTTAGAACAATGCTACCAAGGTAAGGTGGTTGCATGATGGGAACCAAGTTTTAGCTGAAATTACTGATAATAGTCCTTAAATCTGTGACTTTGCGCTTAAAAGTCTGTGTTTTCAGCAAACACTTCCATCTCTTTCTCAGTTTTTAAGAGCCATTTGTCTGAAAATATGTTTCTGCTTTGAGGATTTCTAAGGGTAAGGAGGAAAGGTTATTGATAAATAGGAAAAGTGCCTTTGTACAGTTTAAAATGGTTTTGGGGTGACTGTAGAGGGTAGCAGCAGAGCTAAGGCACGAGAGTACCTGGTGGCTTAGGATGCACAGCCTGTTTAGGGGACAGGCTCCACCAGCCTGTGCACTGACATTTTGTGCTTCCACAGTAGAGCCAGAGGGCAATGAAAGAGACACCAGGAGCAGCAGATGAATCATCCCAGTGTTGCTCCTCACTGTGGAAAAGCCTCTTCCTGGATTCATTTCTTCATTTACTCCATCCATGGTACGCAGGCAGTCACCTGGTTGGTTAAGCTTTAGGAAGGAAGGATACAGGAGGCAGAGTAGCCAATGTTTGCCTTGCATGCTGATTCTTTCATTCATTTCTCTTGGATACATGGGAGTCTGATTTGTGTTACCTGAGACATGCTAGTGTTGCATAAAACACAAGTTCTGATACTCCACAGCAATGGATTGCGTTAATCTATTGGACAAGAAAACAAAAAAGCACTATCATAAGGTAGAGGTGTTATAGGGTATGAAACAATAGCACAAAAATACATGCTGCTTTCACTTCATACTCTGCTCTGTATGCCAAGCAAATCCAGTGACGCATCTTCTGTCAGTGCACCACTGATGGTTGCTCAAAGATGCAAAAAGCAATCCTTCAGCCATGGTTCTTAATAAAACCTCTTCCCGTAGCAGTGCTTCCTCTTTCATCTTCATATCCTCTTTCTATAGAAAGCATCCAGGATGAAACCCAGCAGATTCACGTGAAAAGGCTGCAGACTGGAAAAACCCTTCCTCTCTCTGACACTTGAAAAGCACCTGGAAGCTGGGGGGTTTGCTGCCCAATCGGCACTTAGTTGGCTCTTTAAAAGGCTTGTTTTGTGTCTCTGTGGCTTCGATTTTATCAGCTATTTCTTCCCTGTGTAACAACCATCGCTATAAACGCAGCCCTCCTGCAGCAGTGTTTTCATCCATGTGCATACAGGTAATTTTCAGCACAGAGCTCCTTTTGTAAGTTGTGCCCTGCAGAAAGCTGATGCTGGCACTCAGAACCCCACACTGGAGTGCATATGGCAAAACGCAGGCACTGAAGTGTGTGTTTATGGCTAGGATTGCAACGGGATGAATAAAGAGGCACTTACGGAACCTGCTGTTCAGAACAAGGACACCCTTAAGCATGTGAATCCTAGGCTTGAGGAATGAGCTCTTCCTAGCTCATAGAAACTCAATGGATCTGGATAGCCAGGAGGAGGGATGCAGGCTCAAACAATGAAAATACAAGACAGGTTACAGCTTGACCCCTGGGCAGTGTGTGAAGTGCATGATTCCATTATTGATGGGGACAAAGTTGCTCTGTCTGTATCCCGTGCCAGCTCTGCAAGTGTGCATCCCCACACCACTCTCCCCTCACCTCTTACAAATCCCATTCTTTAGTTCATGTATTTGTAACTGCAAAGGCAATGATCTTCAGCTACTGCAGGCAGGAGAATGGGGACTGTAAATTGTAATGGGCTGCTCTGTATGGGCTGGGCAGGTTGAGCAAATTGCATTGCTTGATTATCCTGTCTTTTTCCACATCAAAATCGGTTAGTGCTGAGAATGCCAGTGCTTGAGTGGAAAAGGGAAAAACAAACAAGGGAGGGGGAGCGTGCCTTTGTTTCCTCCTAATGCGTCTGCTCCTTCTGTTTGCTTACAAAGAGGGGCATGCCCATCTGACAGCATCATCAATATGACCTTTCTCTATGAGCAGGCAGAAGGAACAGATGCATCGGAAGGAAATGGAGACCTTTTTTCTCCATGTAAGCATTGCTGCTCTGGATACCAGCAGGTATGAATTAACAAAGAGGTGCCCCTTGTGCAGTTTGCCTGTGGGTGGGCTCGCCTCACCCTCAGCACTGCTTAAAAGGCAGAAACGGGCCACCTATAGTAGTAGCACCTAGTTGTGACAGCAGCGAGCGCACTGGGTTTTGATGATAAGAATCCTCTTGCTCCTCCTATAGCTTTCTGTTATCAGCCTTACTTAGGAAGTCAGGTGTAGAAATGGGATTTTGGGTTCGTTTTGGTTGGTTGGTTTTGCTCTTTTTATGCAGAACTTCATGCAGAGAACACCGACGGAAGATGCATTTAGCAGCTTGATATTCTTCCCTTCAAAATGTCTGGGGATTTTCCTGGTGTTCATTCGATGGCATTAAAAATGAATGGGGTGACTAAATCGTTTACAGTTTTACATATTCAGTTAGCATGAAAGCAATTACTGATGTGTATAATTATCTCCAGAATTATTTGGATCATGCAAATGGCATTCAAACAACTGCTTGTAGCTGTTTTCCAAGGGATGTCATAATTCATAGTAAGAATAGAACCCTACTCTCTGAGTCCAATATTATTGCCCTTTTGGAATTTCCTTCTCAGATTGTCCTCCTAGAGAGTGATAACTTTCTATTTCCACCAGTTTTCACAGTGCTTCCAGACCTCAGCAGGGGACTGGGTATTGAATAGAGCTTATATCCATCACTTTAATGTGAGTCTTAGGTGCAACAACACTGGGATCAATGCTCAATCCATTATCCTCTGAATTAAGAGGGCCATACTGAGCCAAGTGAGTGTTTTGACCTCAGTCAGTGACTGAAGGTACAGAGGAAATGGTCAAGCATGAACGCATGAAAAAGGAGCTGAGATTAAAATGCAGAGAACCTGAGGGCTTGTTGCTGGCTCCCTGAACACCTCCTGCTTTATGAAAGAGGCAGAAGGGATCCAGGAACCAAAGTGTAAAGGCACAAGCATCTACTCAGGATTGATAAAGTAGGCTCAAAGAAACACCCCTAATCTGAAGCATCACCAGCATGGGTTTGCAGGTGTAACTTTTTAACCCTCCCACGTCAAGTTTTGACCTTGTTTGAACCCAGGGATCGTAGCACTTTTGAGTCCTGCCAGACTCAGAAAGTATGGCAACTTGTGAGGCTGTGAAGGAGGAAGGACACCCTTATGTGGCTCCTGGGAGGCTGCAGTGGGAGAAATCTGGCCGCAAGCTGTTGGGATGCAGCAAATGGCTTCAAGAAGGGTGAAAGACTGAGCAGAACAGGCAGGATGCAGTCATGAAAACAGACTTACATAATGAAGATAAAGCTGAGATTCCCAGAGCAGATGTGGTTCCCAAAGAATATAATCTGTCTAATGGGTAAAACATGTACTCCAGCACAAGTCTGTATACAACGAGCATATGCTGAACTGATTAAACACAGTTCAGTTAGTTTATTCTACTGCTTTGTTGCATGTGCAAATGGAAAAAACTTGGTATCTATCTGACAGTGAACCAACAGGAAACTAAAAGTGACCAAACATCAAAGGGGTTTTGAAGGCTGATAAAATAGTTGCCTAGCTTAAAGGCTGACTGCTCAGTGAAGGATCAGACTTCTCAGTTTGGATTCTAGATCAGGTTCTGAGACCACAGTAACTTGTGTTTCTTTGCCTGCAATGGGTCTTAGGGATAACAGCCACAGATGGAGTCCTGATGGGAGAGTAACATAAGGTAGAAGTTTGAAACCTTTGACTTGCTCTGCTCTCACTCACTCTGAATGTGTAATTACTACAGTGCAGTGAGCTGCTTGTGGGTTTGGAATGAAGCAAGTAAAGGTTAAGTTGTGAGAACAAGTGTTTTCATACCATTACATTTAATCATACACTTTGTGTAAGCGAAGAAAGAAGGAGCCTGCTGAAATCTGCTACTACAGTGTTTCATTCATTCCCTGATTCGTGCCCTGATTACTTTTTGTTTGAGTAGACTTTACATCCTTGTGATATAAAATCACTAGCACAAAAATCCTGTCAAGGAACTGCTTTCTTTCCTCTCTTCCCTTCAGCAGTACAATTGCCATAAGCTGTTAGGTGACAATTTGCTGACCACAGTGGGTTATTAGTGGGACACTTTGAGTTACAATTAGGAAGGAATGGATGCTGTAATTGTTAGAGAGGGACGGCTGAAGAAAATCTTAATGCAGCTTCAGGGTGTAATTCTTAGGTCAAAGTCTAGAGCAAGACTCGTGTGTCTGCCTTCCAGAGAGAAGATAAAACCCAGTGGCTTCTGAAAGATGGATCTTACTGGTCTGCAAGAGGCAAACGGCTCTACAGGCCGGTGCAGCCCTGCTGAAAGCTCAGCAGTTTCCCTAGCAGAGTCCTGACACAGCTTTATTTCTGCCAAAAGCCAGTGTTGACACACTGCAGCTGGGTTCCCTGGCAGTTCCCAGGTCAGCAGGCTGTTCCTGTGAGGAAGCACAACATATCCAAGCAGCACATTGCTGTTAAAGCTAGAAAAATTTCGTTGTATAAGAGTAGTTTATAGCCTTTATCCAGGTGGTAGTTTTGGGTGTAATACACTCTGAACGCAAGATGAGGCATAAAGCACACTAATGTTACCAAGATGAAGAAGAAACTCTTTGCCTGAGCCCTGAATTCCACATGGGAGTTGATGTCAGGCCAGTATTTCACAGCCAGTCTATAGATCACGAACAACTGCATTACGGTGAGCACAGCACAAACTGCCACCAAAACCCCAACCAAGCAGTAGCTGATGATCACCATGTGTGCCTCTTGTGTCTCCCTGTGGAACTGGAAGCATTCAGAGGACTGGTATGTCTTAGAGGTGCCGTAGTATGACAGAAGAAGAGGGGTGATCACCAGGGCTCCCACCAGCCAGACAGCACCCACCCAGGCTGTAGTGTAGCACCTCCTAAACTCGAGTTGGAAGAGGCGTATTATGATGATGCCCACATAAAACACAAAGGTGGCATACATGTGGATGTAGAGGATGGCGCTTGTGAGCTTGCAGGCGAGCCTCCCGGATTTCCACTCCCTCAAAACGTAATAGCTGAGGCGGAAGGGGATGCTGAGCAGCATGAAGGTGTGCAGCACCAGGAGGCTGACGATGACAACGGTTGTCACAGACTGTGATCGCCGCTGGAATAACTTACGGGACATCATGCTGACCCCGAGGGTGCCACCAGCCAGGTCGATGATGTACAGGGCTATGAGAATGGTGTGGAGCCTCTCTGAGGTGTGTGGCAGTGTCTCGTTGGAGGAATGGTTCTGCTGGGTTGCACTGCAGTTCAGCATCCTCCTAAGATCCCCCTTCAAAGGTTACTGAAAGTGAACAATACAGAAACGTGAAGAAGTTGTACCCATAATTTGTTGGAACTTTATGAAGACGCCTGTGCCACTTTTAGCATCTTCCTGGATGGGTGCAGGGCACCCATAAAGCAGCAGCAGCCTCAATTTCTAGCGTAGAGCACATTAAAAATAAAGAGCTGCAGCTAAAGGTTGAATTTCTTCCTGCTTCAGAAGAAATTGAACTGTTCTGAGTCTTTTTGCTATAGAGTTTCACCTGAGCTATTCTACTGCAAATACCTTGGCTATTCTAAGTTATAACTTAATTTGGGAACAATCTTCTACAAGATATAATCTTACTGGCACTTGTTGGACATAGCCACATACAGCTGCATTTCTATGTAGCCTTAAGGCATAATGTGGACTGATTTCTGTACAGGTGATTTCACCTGTAACGCGATAGACTGCCACTGCAAAACATTTTCAGAGAAACTACTTGTGTACGAAGCATCAGGCAAAGCATCCTTAGGCGACCTTTGCAGTGTTGTGTGCGAGACTGATACAACCCTTGCTGTTCGCTCCCTTCTAAAATGCATGATCTTAGAAGCATTTAGATGGTTTAAAGTTGTGTATGTGCTGCGTGTCCCTGAGACATGCAGGAGGAATTTGCTTTCCCAGAAACTTGGCTATGATAGAGGTTTCACAAGCTTGAGGAAGATGACTTCCTGCTTCCGGCACAAGTTCACTTTCTAATGTAGATTGTTAATATTTCAAACTGGCTTTCAGAAGGTATAACGTTTTTGCTGCTGTGAACAGCATAATTGCAGCTGAGCTGCCAACATTTCCTGTTACTCAGAAACACATTATGCTTTTTTCACTATGTCTAGAAATAATATTAAATATTACCTCATAATCTCTTAGTTTCGTGACTTCCTTCTTCTTTGCTGTTTCACATGTCCATAGCATGCAGCATATATAACCAATGACAAAAGCAGGGCCTTTGGTGTTCCTGTCTGACCAAGAAGGCTGAGGGTTTTCTCAGCCCACAGACAGGAAGGCACAAGCCTTTTTACTTGCTTCACTGAGACAGCAGTTGCATGTGTTCAACATCTAACACCGTTTTGCTCCTGTGGAGAGAGCTGCTAAAACCTTGCTGAGCTGTCAGAGCCCAGCGCTGTGCTTGGACCTGTAGGACAGTGCCCCCCATCAAGTGAAGAAATCTGCAGCAGAGCAGCAGTTTCTTCCTCAACTTGTCTTATGTTTAATATTGAAGCTGAATGTGCCAGAATAACAAAGTGTTTAGCAAGGGGTAGCAGATTTCTCTCTAAGATGCTATCAGATGGGGCTACTCATTGTTTAAGTGTTATAAGCAAAATAAGCTTCAGACATATATGAAAAGTGACTTGATAGTTGCTGCTGTTAGGAAAGAAAGACATGCAAAGGCAGAGGTGCTTGGAGCTTGTGCCTGAGCTGCAGGAGTGAATTCTGACCCCAGACTCTTTCATTACTATAAACCAGCTCACTAAGAAGAGGCAAGCGTGGAGGCAGGGCTCTTCTAGAGACACTGAAAAGTTTCTTGAGTAGAAATTAAAGAGAAAGATGTCAGCCCCCCTCTGCTGTGGTGTGAGGATGGTTTCCTCTGAGAGGTTTCTCTCCTGTGATTAAGTAAAGTCGTTAGGAAGAATAAGGTGTGAAAGAGAAGTGAATAAACACATTGGACTGAAAAGATCAAAGGTGCTAAAAGTCAGCAAGAGAAACAGAAAGGGTTGTAAGGAAGAGCAAGGATGTGGAGCCTGCAGGATAACTCTGAGGGTGACTGTCTCATCTAGACCAGGATTCAGAGCAGGAGGGATGCCCATTTTGGAGACCGAGGGAATTGAAACGTGGAATTGCTCCAGCAGACAGAACACTGAGGGAAAAGAGCCAGGTGGATAATGGTACACACCAGGTGTGGTTCCAGCATCACTTAATCTCATGTATGGACAAGCTGCTGCCTGACATGGTGCTTGGATGGCAGGATGATCAGCTGGCTGTGCAGAAACACCCAGGAAGGCAAAGCAAGTGTCAGACACTGCTGGTTTCGATGGGTTATAATGATCATGAAACGACACTCACAGCCTCTGGGTAGAACAGAGAGATGCCTTGCAGCCTTGTGCTCTGTCCACAGGACCTGAAGTGACCCACCAAGTAATAATGCAGAAGAGACACGAAGAAATTGCATTCCTAAAATGGCTGCTGTGTGACAGCCATCACTGCAGAGCTGACACAGGCTTCGAGATAAAGAGCTCTGTGTACTCCATTTGCTTGCTGAGTCCAGCCGGAGCACTTTGGATGTGAAGTGATGCCAAAAACCCTGCAAGGCTGCTGCGTAGATAATTCTCTTGTCACCGCTGGCTGACACAAAAACTGCTGGGGGTCAGAAGCTGCTCTTCTCTATTGAGATTTCATACCTTTGGGTTGCTTCGTCCTCAAAATGTTCCTTGAAGGTTGGATGTGGAAGCTGTTCAGCGTGTTAATCCTTCATCTTCACATTCTTCTGCTAAATCTATATATCTCACTCACCTCAACTCTGTAATCTAGGTCTTAAGTTTTAGGTTAGTTTCTCTTTTGACTACAAAAGGAAATTAAGTCACATCAGCCTGTTCCAATGAACTTTCAGCTCCTGCTTTTGCTTCTTGCTTCATCAGCACATAGGTTGCCTTAACCAGTGGTGAGAATAAAGGTTGGAAGAGAAATGCACGTATACTCATCAGAGATCCAGGTCAAGACTAGCATCGCAAGTAGACTTAAAGGAAGGAAGGAACTGGGCATGCCAGGTTCAACACTGGGGAAAAGGAAGATGAAGAAGAAAGGTGAAGGTTTAAATTAAGACAATACAATGAAACGGAAGAAGCAGCAGCACTGGTTGAGAGAAGAGGAACAAGGTTTGTTGGATGCTCAGAGACAGGATGTGTCTCTGTGGAAGTGTCGTGGGCTGTACCTATGCATGGTGTAGGAGAGTCCCTTTAGGCAGGGGATAGATCTGCCATGGAAGGTGGTTTTGTTTCATTTCTGCACGATTTCCTCTGCTTCCTGTGCCCCTTGGTAAGAAAGTGTTCGGTTTACTGGTCAGTGTAATGACAACCAAGGTTTCACATACAGGAGATCAAGAGCTCCTTTCTGTCTGGGAGCGATCATAGATTGCATGCTTGTGAAAACCTTGTGTTAGGTTTTCAAGTTTAGCTACTTCCAACCTAGGGTCATAGTTGCTGATAACTTCAATTATCTATTAATAACAAAATCTCTGTTTCTACTTGCTTATGAACAGAGTTACATATAGGCCAGAGTCAAAAAAGTGAGGGAATGCCTGTGTTACACCTAAACATACTGCTTTTTCTGTGATTTCAGATGCACTCACAGTTCTTGCTGTCTGACTCCCACTCTGTTAACATGAGTCACAGGCACTGGAAAGGGAGCAAAGCATCCTCCATGGTTAGTGAACCTGCAGGAAACTTGGGGCTTCCCTCTAGGGCTTTGGTTTCTTTTGGGTCCAAAGCATCTCTTCCTTCTGCTTTCCAGGAGGAGGCTGCGGACCTCTGAAATGACAACAGTGATAAACCCAGCTGCTTTGACTTAGATGGAGGCCAGAACTTCTACTCCTTGTAGTGCTATGATAATAATAAGTAGTGACCACAGCTTACAGAAGAGAAACCAGAGAAAGATGTTTAAATCAGTAAAGCAGACTGTGCTTATTTAGATTTCACACAAGTTTGCTGCAATATGAGGAACTGTTGCTTGAGAGCATGCCCCAAAGCAGCTCAGAAAGGCTTTTTGCTTACTACATTGGATAATATATTGAAAGCTATATATATTGTACATATTATTAAATAATTCAGCCACATTCAGCATTTGGAAGATGAAATAACGATGTCATTTCTGTGGCCTTTTTTGCTCCTTAGGAAATCTCTGTGCTTCCATTATACATGCTGTCAGCAGGAACGAAATGAATGCCATGCCGTATGTCTGTTTATACCACATACTCTCAACACATGGCAAAGAATATGCACAACCAATCAAAATGCTCTCATACTAAAGTGATCATGATCCTAAGTACCATCAAACTGTCAACATCAATTCATTCAGAAGCTTTCACTGTTTCTATGTTTTCTCAGTTCAAGGATTTGAGCAATTGCTGTCATTGTAAGAACATTTCTACCCTAAAGCATAGATGGGCCATGCAGCTAATTGACATACTTTAAGCTAACTGGATGAAAATGAAGTATGTGATAAGTTCCAAATGAACTGTTTAGCAGAGTCCTGTTGGACTTATCTTTCCATTGTAAGGAAAAAAGATTGTAGAGCAAGAGAATGGGATATGGAGGGGAACATCAGAAATGGAGTGATTAGCGTAATTGCTTTTCTTTCAACCACCAGCAGCTCTTACAAGTGAAGAAGCCTTGTTCCTGCAGAAGACACAGGGAGGAAATGATTACTGTACATGCAACAAGAGGTTACTTTATAAAATCTTGTACTCATCTACCAATCTTTTTTGAAATTCAGGAAGTACAAAATGTCACAAGCTTCAAACTTGAATATTTTAATGCATCAGCCACCAGCTGCAGAGAGGCACGGAGAAAAAGAGTCAGGAGCAATGACCAAATCCCTCCATTCCTAATATTGTCCTTCTCCAGGCAATCAGTCCTGGATTGAGAGAGGTAGGAGAGGGTTACCTCTTTAGGATTCAGCAGGTCACTCTCTTTGGGGATAGAGGCAGCTCTTCTGGTGCTTTTTCTCCACTTCCCATGGGAGAGTGGAGGGGTTACTGGGTAGCCAGTGTTTCTGAGCTCCAATGAGCCTCTCCTGCTTGCTAAGAACTGAGAAACTGCTGCTTTTCATCCAAACATTCAGTAGGGGAACATCCCCAGATGCAGGAACAGTCTTAGATCAATGCAAGCCAGCACAAAAGTAACCCTTGCTAGTGATGCAGTTCTTTCCCAAAGAGCAGAGGGAAAGATGGAGGCCCATGGATGAAGCGCACAGACTGCTAGAAGCACCACAGCTCTTGAGCCCAACTGGAGGAATCTAACCTCCAAGATGTTTTAGAGATTGAGGGGAATACTCAGTCATGGCTACAAGGCCTAGAAAGGGGCTTAGAATTAGATAAGAGAGCTGAGAAGCACTTGGCAATTTAAAAAGGAAAAGGTAAATCAAAATAAAAGGTAAATCAAAATCACTTCAAATAAAGCTGAATGGCAGAGCTGGGAAAAGTAAGGCTGCTGTTGCTCAGTGAAAGCAAGTGAAAGAAAAGAGAGCTTTGCCTCTTTCATTCCCATGTACAACAGGAGGCAGGGTTTGACAGTGCCCATGTTTAACCGCTGGCAGTCTGGAAAGGCATCTATGGTGCTGCTCATATGGAGATTCATCCACAGGGCAAATACAAGGAGAAGCTGGTGTTTCTTTAATCATAGCTGGTGGGCTACTAACAAACACCCTTGCAAATCTGCCTGTCTAATCTCCTCTTGCACAGCAACAGCTGCTCTTGTACAGACCCCCAGGACCTCAGAGGGTCCAAACCCTTCTGTGGGGAAATGCAGTAGTCTGGACTGTGAAATTATGGGAAGGACCTGAAGCCCTTGCTCTGCTCCTGTTTTAGACACCTGTAGGCAGAAAAAGGATTATCCGTCACAGCGCATCATAGGACAAGCTGATGCCAACTCGGGTTTTTATAAATCACAAGACTTTTAGATATGTCTCCTGTGTACCTTTGGGATAAACAGAAGCAAAAAAACCCAGCACAGGCATTTCTCTGCCGCCTACCTTATCGACTTGCTTGGAAGTCCATTCCGTGTTCATATGAAAGCCTGATGTGTGGTACTGGCTTTAGCATCCTGTAGCTGCCTTCTGAGGATGATGTGGCAGGCTCCTGTTTCCTCAGGGTTATCACTGACCCATGCTATATGTTTGCTGCCTAAATTGTTTTGCTTGCAGGATAACTGCAGCTGCACACACTTCCATGAGGAGTTTTTCCATGATCCATGTAGCAGACTCATTTACCTACTCCAACCCCATTTAACATCCCTTCAGCAGCTATTTACTCGCTATGAGAAATAAACTCAGTGGGAAGGTTTTCTTTTCAAGCCGCCATACTTCTCCTCTAAGCAAATCCTGATCTCTTTGCAGATTTATTTTATTTAAATCTGAGAGAGGGAAAAAAATGCCTTAAATATTATTGATAATTTCATTTCAAGTGCAGATGAAAATCGGGGGGGGGAATTTACCTGCAGGTTTCAAAGGTACATAGATGTACGTGTTTCAGTGTACAGAACAGCAGAACTAGTTGTAGTAGAACCAAGTACCTTGAAAAACTTTGTATTTATTGTAAAGCTGAAGGTCTAATTAATCCCCAAATTCAAAGCGATGTTGCTTCGCATCAGAGGATGTAAACTCTCAAAACCAAATCCAGGGATTATGTCCTTAGTTCAAAGGACAGTGAAAGAGGCAATTAATTCTCTTTCTTTTTTTCTTTTCCCCAGGCATGGTTTGAAGCACAACTGTCAAACCTTTGTTAGCCAGCATCAACCAGTTGGTACCTAAGGGAAGCTGGAAATTTGCTTGATTTAAAAGCTGCTTGTTAGATCCTCCTGATACTCAAACCCCCTCCTGATTAAATCTGAAGAAATATGATAGCTTTTTCCTGCCTGAGCCTTGGGTTTCTTTCCTCTTTGCACGTTCCAATTTAACAATCTGAATAAAACCACGGTTGTATCAAAAGCCAGTTTCATTTTCCACACTAAAGCTCTTTGGTGAGCTCCAAGCCACCAAGTTAAGGATTTTTTTCAGCCTTTTAACTCCTTTAAATACGTGGCTTCAATTGTGAAGTGTAATGGGCTGACCCTGGCTGGTGGCTAGGTCTGCACTTGCTCAGCTCCCCCAGCGGGCTGGAAGAGAGATTCAGAAGGGCAAAAGAGAGAGGAAAACTCATGGGTTAAGATTAAGACAGCTCAATAAGTGAAGGGGGGAGAAAGGAAAGGAGAAGAGAAATGGATTAAGTGCTGCAGAAGTAACAGTCACTCACCGATGATGCCAAATCAGTCTCCGAGGAGCTGGAAAGATTCCCCCCACAGTTTTACTGCTGAGCATGATGATATATGGTATGGAATATCCTTTTGGTTGCTTCCTAGAGGGGCTGACTGGAAAAACAGAGAAGGCCTTTGTGCTATGCAAGCATAGCTCAGCAAGAGCGGGAGCATTGGTGTCTTATCCATGCTGGTTTGGTCACTAATCTAAAACACAGCACTGTATGGACTGTGATGGAGAAAATGAAATCCATCCCAGCCAGACCCAGCACAGAAAGGAAAAATGCAATTTTGAAACAAACAGAAAATGTAACAAAATAAGAATGATTTAAAAGTTAAATCTTTTGTTGGGGGTTCTGTGTGTGTGAAGTGTGTTCATGCTGTGGTTTACCCCAGCTGCAGCTAAGTACCACAAAGCCACTTGCCTCCCTGCCTCCACTGAGATGAGGAGGAGAACTGGAAGAAAGGTAAAAACCCATGGGTTAAGACAAGAACAGTTTAATAACTGAAATAAAACAGAATAAAAATAGTAAAATTATAATAATAACAATAATAATAGGAAATAAAGTGAGGGAGAGAGGGAAGAATAAACCCCACCCACCCCAAAACCACCAAGTGATGCAGAGTACAATTGCTCACCCCACACTGACTGATGCCCAGCTTGTCCCCAAGCAGCAACCAGGTTCTTCCAACCAACAACCCCCTCAGTTTCTCTACTGAGCATGATGCTGTATGGGATGGAATAGCCCTTTGGCTGCTTTGGGTCAGGTGTCCTGGCTCTGCTTCCTCCTGGCTTCTTGTGTCCCTCCTCACTGGCAGAGCCTGAGGCACTGAAGAGTCCTTGGTCAGGGTGAGTGCTACTGAGCATCAGCTAAACCATCGGTGTGTTATCAGTGCTGCTCTCAGGCTAAAGCCAAAACACAGCCCTGCACCAGCTGCTGGGAAGGGAATTAACTTTATCCCAGCCCAAACCAGGGCTGTTCACAAAGCTTTTCTGGAATGTAGGTTTATCTAGAAAAAAACCCCAAACTTTCTGGGGTGCAGTTTTCACCTGAACCAATGGACCGATACTGCCTGAAGTAATAAGCACCAGACCAAATGGTTTCCCAAAAGCATCTGCCTCTATTGGCAAAAATCACTGCTCTTGTTTGCAGACGAAGGCAGGAGCAGAGTGAGGGGAGTTACAAAGGCTTCAGTCACTGGATGTATCAGGTGAGGGTCAAACACGGCATTGAAAGAGTGCTGCAGGAGAGGTGGCAGGAATAACAGTGGTCACTCATTAGCAAAGCTCTTCAGTGCTGGATCTGATACCCTTCAGCATCCTGACCGAGAGCTGCGGCACCGGATGGGAGGGAGCAGGGCTGGAGGTCGGGGCTGTCCTTCAGAGGGACCTCAGGGGAGGGAATGGGCGAGCAGGAATCTCATGAGGATATTAACAATAAGAGGGGTGCAGCTGGGGGCCAGGAGGCCAGGGAAGGTGTTTGGATTCTCCACCTCCATTTCCAAAGCACAGCTAGATGCAGTCCTGGGCAGACCCATTTCACTTTGAGTTTAGCACGCTTTGAGCAGGGCGTATGACAGGATAACCGGAAGGCATCTCTTAGGATCTACTTTTTCCTATGATTCTGTGATGCTAACTCATCTTGAAACCACAGAGGCGAACCCCCCTTCCACATCTTTACTTCTTGTTCCAGTCCGTGTGAGGGTGCAAGTTACTAAATGTGGTAACTAAATATAGTAACTAACTTGCAGCAGTTATTAATGTGGAACATCTAGTAACACAAGTGTACATTACTATTTGCTCCTACACACGTTCCGACCTCCAGAACAGGATTTTGTCCTTGCTCTTATATTAATAGCTTGGGGGTTTTCTGTCAGAGTAAAAATACCCCTTGACATTAAAACACATAAAACCACCGTAGTCTAACATAATTATTGTCTTTTTTCATTTTCACTTCACCAGTAGCTGCAGTGGTTTCACACTCCTACACGCTTTTGTAAACGGTGTTGTTATGGTGATGTATTTCACATGCTGTATTTTTCCATATGCCTCTGTTACACCTTTTTCCGGTGTCCCTTCTGTTGTTAAGTATGCCCACAAGTGACCCCTTTGGGATATTTAACCAAGCAACAGCCGAAGTTGTTTCTTGCTGGTCCATTTTTGTCTCCCCGCTTGGCTTTACTGATTTACCTGTGAACTCACTGCTCGCTGGCTAATTCCCCTTGTCGTGGTTTTCATCTGTTCTTGTTGTTCTGCTCTTTCCTGGGCTTCGTATTCATTAGGGTGACAAGTACCAGCCTTGTGCGCCCTCCACACCCCACTACTGCATTACAGAGAGCTGCATCTCTCCTACAGCACCCAAGAAGGCT